GGGGGGCCCTGGGCTCGGGAGGCGCTGCTAGGGGCCCTAGCGAGGCAAGGGGTGTCCCCGGGAGATGTAACTTTGGTGGTGGGGACCCACGGGCACTCGGACCACATCGGGAACTTAGGTTTGTTTCCGGGCGCGGCATTGCTTGTCTCGCACGACTTCTGCCTCCCTGGGGGTCTCTACCTGCCCCACGCGCTGGATGAGGAACGGCCTTTGCAGCTGGGGCCCGGGCTCGAAGTGTGGGCCACACCGGGCCACGGGGGCCAGCGGGACGTGAGCGTGGTAGTAGCGGGCACGACTCGGGGCACCGTGGTGATAGCGGGCGATGTGTTTGAGCGCGATGGGGATGAGGATTCGTGGCAGGCGCTGAGTGAAGACCCGGTGGCCCAGGAGCGGAGCAGGAAGAGAGTCCTAGACACCGCCGACATAGTTGTGCCTGGTCACGGAGCCCCTTTTCTGGTGTTAAGGGAAGTCGCGCAGCTGGCAGCAGCCAGTGATCCGAGACAAGGACTGATAGGCCCCGAGAGGGACTGAACTCTACCTCAAGGAAGCCCTTCCTTCCAGCGAGGAGCGAGACGACGGGGACCCAATCGGCCTGAATCAGAGCAGTCAAGGGTGGTCGCTTCCAGTCCTTCCAGGAGGCCAGATTTCTACCGAGGACACAAACTTCTTGCCTCTGCAGTTGCCAGTATCACTCTCTTGCCTGTCTCTATAACCAAACGAGGGCCAAGGACTGGCTCAGCTCTTGTACATCCTCCCTGGGCCTCAGCAAAATAGGAGAAAGTTCTTATGGGAGTCCTCCAAAATAAAAGTAGAAACTGCACTGAAAATCATGTTGCTCTAATGAAAACATGAAGCACTGATAGTAATAATTGTGCAAATATGGTAACTGAGTTGCATTGGGAAGCACTGCCAGATTGCTTATTCCTCATAGGGTGCAGCTTTGCTGAAAAAAGGTACAGGGCATAGAGGTGACCCCTTAGTCATCAGACTTTAATTCATTCCCTCAGTGGGTGCTTAATATCGGCAATGTCTCAGGCATTGCCTGAGGTTATAGGATACAACAGGTTTAAACTTGACAAACTTCCTGTCCCCATATTATCTTTTGAGCAAGTAAACAGCAATAATAATAATAACAAACCAATTAATTACAGGTTGTGGTAAATAATGTTAAAAAGGAGGTTAAGGGCAGAATAGGATGCTGGAACTAGAGAGTTGGCTCTTATTTAAGGTGGTTGAGAAAGGCCTCTGTGAGGATTTAGTGTTTGATCCGAGACTAAATGAGAAGCCATGTGAGGATCTGGGAGAAGGGTAGAACAGGCAGGTGTCAAGGCCCTAATGCAGGACAGCTTAACCCACTTAAGAAGTAAGAAAACTCCAGGGGTTGGACTGTAAAAGGCCAAGGAACAATAGAGAATAAAAGCTGGAGGTTTGAACAAGGCCACCACTCAGCATTGCAGACCTTGCTAAGGGGTTTGGATTTATATGAAGTAAAATGGAAACATCTGTTGGCTATTGAGCAGGCCAAAAAGGTAGCTCAGAGAAGCCAGTTCACCCAGAGTATGAACCAGTCCCTGCCATACATGAATTTGTAGCTGGTGTTGGCCAATGTGATGACCACAAGAGTGCCAGGTTCCTGGGCTAGCAGAGTAGCCATGGCTCCCTGGATCTCTGCCAGTCATTGCACAAAGATGGACAAAAGGAAAGTGGTTAAGTGGGCCTGGGGCCAGGGATTGGGATCATAATTTGGAAAGACACAATCCTGAAATCCTGAAAGATCAAAATCCCTGAAGATTGAAATGTAAAGTTTAAAATCCTAGGCCAGGCCAACTGGCTCATGACTATAATCCCAGAATTTGGGAGGCTGAGGCAGGTGGATTGCCTGAGCTCACGAGTTCCAGACCAACCTAAGCAATAGTGAGACCCCATCTGTAAAAAATTGCTGGGCACTGTAGCAGGTGCCTGTAGTCCCAGCTGAGGCAAAAGAATCGCTTGAACCCAAGTTTGAGGTTGCTGTGAGCTAAGATGCCACAGCAATCTGCCAACGGTGACCAAATGAGATTCTTAAAAAAAAAAAAGTAAAATCTCAGGTGGCACCTGTGGCTCAAAGGAGTAGGGCGCCAGCCCCATATGCCAGAGGTGGCGGGTTCAAACCCAGCCCCAGCCAAAAACTGCAAAAAAAAAAAAGTCTAAAATCTCTGACTTCTAAAATCCAGGAAAATCACAACCTCCAGATAGTTGCATTGTATTAGGCCAGCTCTTATGGACAGACTCCACACAATCACCTACAATCTATACCTATAATATACCTTTTCATTATGTCAATGTTTTCTTCTGAAGTTTTTTCCCCACTATTTTAAATTGTCAGCATTATTTTTTACATCTTGCTATGCTGTGTATTTCATTTACCCTCCCAACTTTTTTTTTTTGAGACAGTCTCACTATGTCACTCTCAGTATGAGTGCATATCATTGTTGTTTGGCAGGCCTGGGCTGGGTTCGAACCAGCCAACTCTGCTGTATGTAGCTGGTGCCCTAGCCACTGAGCTACAGGCACCGAGCCTACCCTCCCAACTTTTGATAGTTACTTTCTTCCTACTTTTCTGGCATTTATAATATGTACATTATCATCTGTAACCATAATTTCCACATTTATTTTTACTTTAGTCCTATAGTTAGTTGCATTCATTTTCACTGCCAGATTTTACTGTAAACTTTCCAATAAACTCTTTGTTTAACTAAAAAAAAAAAAAAAACAATATGTCCATGTCCCACAGCATTTTTAAAAAGTCCCGATACTTAGAACTGGTCCCTGAAGTGATGGCTCTTGTGGGACTGAACCCTTAAATCTATGGAGTCTAACACCACTCTGACTCTGAATATTTAATGTCAGAATTGAATCGAATTGTTGGACACCCACTTATAGGCCAAACGCCTATATGCCTCTGGCCAAAAAAGCCGTTTGAGGGAGAGCAGTGAAAAGACTTTGTGCGGGCATACTTAAGAAACTGAGGCAGAATCCCATGTGGCCAGGTTAGTTGCGGGCCTAACATGACCAAGGCTTTGGCTGGAATGGTATTTCCGGACTGCGTTAAGGAATTAAGGTTGACTTTATAAGGCCTATGAGAAAGCCCTTTGGAAAACTGGCCAGATACCCATCAGTAACCTTTCCTGATCTGTGGTAGGTGACGAAGGTCATTTACTGACAGGTCTGGCAATGGAGTAACCTTTCCTGATCTGTGGTAAGTGACAAAGGTCACTTACTGAAGGGTCTGAGTTCCTGATCTGTGGTAAGTGACGAAGGTCGCTTGCTGACAGGTCTGGGAAAGGTAATGTCATACAAGTATCTAATGGCACAGATGAAACCCGGGCTCATGAAAGGCTTTTGAGAAGTCCAGCCTGAGAATTCCTTATAAAAGGCTCCAGCAAAAAGAGCAGAGGTTTGCACACAAATTCCTATATGCCCCAAAAGTTTCTCTATGCTTTGCTTAAAGATTCAAAGTAACTGCCTCCAAATGGCATGGTCAGTAAAACAGATATTCAAATGGTCTCTATCCCCCATAGCCTCAGGCTTCATCAGATAAGAACAAAGAAAGTAATAACTGACATGTTCTTCATTAAATTATGTTAAACCGGGTTATACTGAAAGGATTATGCTTAAAGGTGTATGTTGGGTGGATTATCAGATTGCCAGGGAGGAGCTACTTACAGGGCAGGTGGTCATAAGCTGCTTAAATGGATCAATGACAGGGTGACCAGACATCCCGCTTTTGGCAGGACAGTCCCAATTTTTAACAATTTGTCCCTGCGTCCTGCAGCATTTTAAAAATGTCCCGATTTTTGGAAAGAATGCACAAACAGGCGGGAGAACAGTAAGGGAATATACAGTTTTCGGCTGCCATGTGTCTATTTTGCCAGGATATGAGTTTTATATTATTTTTGTTAATTTTATAATGTTACACTGTAATAATAACAAATAATTGTTGAGAAGTGATTATCGAGAACTGCTTATCAAAGTTTGCATTGTTGTCAGGCCCCACCCCCGCCCCACCTCCCTGTCAATGGTGTTCGGCTTTACCAATGTTAAAATCTGGTCACCTTACCTTACTGTTCTCCCGCCCTTTTGTGTATTCTTTCCAAAAATCAGGACTTTTTAAAAACACTGCAGGAAGCCAGACAAATTGTTAAGAAGCCAAATTGTTAAAAAGCGGGACATCTAGTCACCCTAGTATAATCCCATCAGTTTGGGAGGTCAAAGTGGGAGGATCGGCTCGGCTCCTGTGGCTCAAGTGGCTAAGGCGCCAGCCACAGACACCTAATGTGGTGGGTTCAAATCCAGCCCTGGCCTGCCAAATAACAATGACGGCTACAACCAAAAAGTGGCCGGGTGTTGTGGTGGGAGCCTGTGGTCCCAGCTACTTGGGAGGCAAAGGCAGGAGACTCGCTTGAGCCCAGAAGTTGGGAGTTGCTGTGAGCTTTGATGCCACGGTAGTCTACCCAGGGAGACAGCTTGAGGCTCTGTCTCAAAAAAAAAAAAAGAAAGAAAAGGAAAAAAAAGAACAAAGTGGGAGGATCGTTTGAGGACAGGAATTCAAGATCAGCCTAAGCAACATAGTGAGAACTCTGTGTCTACCAAACAAACAAACAAAATACAGCTACAGATTTGGATAATTGTTCTGAATCTAGAGCAACGGTTCTCAACCTGTGGGTCACGATCCCTTTGGGGGTTGAATGACCCTTTCACGGGGGTTGCCTAAGACCATCCTGCATATCAGATATTTACATTACGATTCATAACAGTAGCAAAATTACAGTTATGAAGAAGCAACGAAAATAATTTTATGTTTAGGGTCACTACAAAACGAGGAACTGTATTAAAGGTTTGTGGCATTAGGAAAGTTGAGAACCACTGATCTAAAGACTAGAATGTGGGTTCTAATCTGTGATCCTTTTTCAAAGCCAAAGTCACTTGCCATTTCATTGGGAAGTCTCCAAAACATGGGTTTAGCTGTCAAGCAGTGTTGCACCCCACAAAACACATTCTTTGGGTATATTTCAAATTTCACCTTTATGCAAAGTTTATTTTTTTTAATCATCTGATTTAGATAAATAGAATTCTTCATCCAGCTGGGCATGGTGACTCACGCCTGTAAGGAGGGAGAATCGCTTGAGCTCAGGAGTTCGTGACTCTCCTGAGTGAGAGTGAGACCCTGCCTGACTCATGAAAAAAAATGGAAAAACCCAGCCGGGTGCAGCAGTGAGCACCTGTAATCCCAGCAGCTTCCAGAGGCTGAGGCAGCGGGATGCCCACAAGCTAGAGTCTGAGGTTGCAGTGAACTACCAAGCCACTACACTCTGCTCAGAGGCATAGGGTGGGACTCTGTCTCAACCAAAAAAAAAAAAAAAAGGAAAGAAAGTTTTAAAAAGCAACAAAATAAAATTAAATTAAAAGAAAAAAAAAGAATTCTTTATCCAAAATAAGAAATCTGTGGGCGGCACCTATGGCTCAAGGAGTAGGGTGCCGGTTCCATATACAGAGGATTCATTCAAAGGATGAATTCCTTTGGTGGATTCAAACCCAGCCCGGCCAAAAACTACAAAAAAAAAAAGAAAGAAAGAAAAGAAAAGAAATCTAGCCAATTGCCTTAAAATAGAGTTAATTGAATTATTTACAGCCTTAATGGTTATAGTACTCTTTTTTTTTTTTTTGAGACAGAGCCTCAAGCTGTTACCCTGGGTAGAGTGCTGTAACATCACAGCTCACAGCAATCTTCAACTCTGGGGCTCAAGCGATCCTCCTGCCTCCACCTCCCAAGTAGCTGGGACTATAGGCACCTGCCACAATGCCCAGTTTGTAGCCATCATTGTTGTTTGGCAGGCCCGGGCTGGATTCAAACCTGCCAGCTCAGATATATGTGGCTGGCGCCTTAGCCGCTTGAGCCACAGGAGCTGAGCCTATGGTACCCTTTTTATATTTTATTCATTGTCTGTCTCCTTGACCACTTTTCGATAACTGCAATAATCTACTCTTTATCTGGGGTTGCATTTAACTGTGATCAGCTGTAGTCTGAAAATATTACATTATAATAAGATTTTTTTTTTTTTTT